TATAAGGACGCTTATTGAGTTTTGAAGATTGTTTCCAAAATGCAGTTTCCTTCAATTGCCTTTTATTATCATTGATCCTAGAATCACGAAATTCGGCTCACTCTTTCAGCGACATGACCTTTCCGGACACCCTGTATAGATCACGTTAACTGATGATCATGAAGATATACAGTGCTTTCATATGAAAACAAAAAATCCTCTAATATTAGAAACTGTGATAACTAACGATCTGAAATTATTTGAAAAATGGCTCCACTCTAACCTTTATTTATCAATAAATACCAGAAAATCTGAACACATGATTTTCCAATAATAATAAGATAATTTGAAAATTCAGCTCAATCTTCAAATAAAGAATGAATTCGTGGAACGAACTGAATAGATGAAGTATTTAGGTATTTCGTTTGATGAAAAATTGAAGTGGGAAAAACATATTGAGGTTCTGACAAAGAAAATATCTCCTATCATTGGTGCATTGAGAAGATGTCCCAAACTCAATATGAAAATTGCAAATATAGAATATAGATACTCTATTCACATATACTAAGTCGAATCAACTATTTAATAAATGTTTGGGGATCTTGTTCTAAAAATAATTTTAATAAAATATCAACATTACATATAGGAAATCATGAAAAGTATTGTATTGTCATCGTCCACCAATATTCTAATTAGAATTAGAATATTGGTGGACGATGGTATTGTCTTCCATAATAATATGATACACCAACAACTGAACTGTATGCTTCAACAAAAACATATTCTTTAGAAGAACTGTACAGATTAGAGACTGAAAATTTCATACAATATCATGAATAAAAAATTGAAATCTGATATTATTTTGACAAGAAATTTTGAAATTCATAGTCATCAAACTAGACAATATAACTTATTTCACCTGATGCAGCATTATCGGAGTTCAATAAACTACCAGATGAAAATGAAAACTGCAGAAATATAGGTATTCGAAAAGAAAGTGAAAAAACTGATCATTTCTGATAGAAATGTTTAAAATTTATCAGTAAGACATGCCCTTGACTAGAATTCTTTTCTTTGTTCATTAATAATTATTGTGATTTCCTGATTTATTATGATTTATTATTCATGTTCACTTCTACTCATGCTTGTGTAGTAGTTCATATACAGGGTGATCCACGGTGGATGGCCAATTAGAAGTATCTGGAGAACGAAAAGACAGAACATTCTGAAATTTGGATGCTTTGATAATTTAATATTCTATCCGTCTGAAATATTTTCGTCGATACAGTGTTGCCACTTCTATCAGAAACAACTAGCAACTTCCTTATTTTAAATGGAGCACCCTGTATTTCATTGCATTTTTACATTCTACCTGAAGAGCTGATTTCATCAATGTCTCACACTTGTGGTCTAGCTGGAATGATTTTAGAGATATAGGGTGTTCAAAATCGAGATTTTTCAATTTTAGGATTGTTTTTGTGTCGATCGATAAGGCTTACATGTTCCTATCTCAACTTTCGATTCACTATCTACTGACATTTAATTGAAACAGATACAGGGCGATCAGAATTCTGAATCTTGAAGCACCCTGTATTTTTTCTAATTAAATTCCAGTAGATAGTGAATCGAAAGTTAAGATAGGAACATTTTAAAATTGGAAAATCTCGATTTTGAACACCCTATATCTCTGTAATTATTCCTGCTAGACCCCAAGTGTGATGCACTAATGAAATCACCTCTTTAGGAGGAATCTAAAAATGCAATGAAACACAGGGTGTTCCTTTGAAATAACATAGTTGCTAGTTGTTTCTGATAGAAGTGGCAACACTGTATCGACGAAAATATTTTAAACGGATAGAGAATCAAAGCATCCCAATTTTCAGAATATTCGGTCTTTTCGTTCTCCAGATACTTCTAATAGGCCATCCACCGTGGATCACCCTGTATATTAATTACTTATTACTTTATAATTATGTTCTTTCTCATACCAGAACTTGTTCTGACGGGAAGATATGTTTGATAAATAAATAAATAAATAAATGAAAAATATAGTGTATATACAAAAATCTATCGTCTTCAGCTCTGTTCCTCGCAATCCATTCCGAGAGCCCCCCCGAAATTCGAGCAGCAGCCCCTGCTGCTGGACTCCTACATTCCCGCCGCCATGCAGATCCTGGCATACTTGACCGAGCAGATGAAGTACAACCTGCGGCCCGGCAGCACCCCGCCGCCCCTCGGACCGACCGCCGCCCCAACAATGCGGCCCACCCCGCCGCACCGCCCGGCGGTATACGCCCCCGAGACGCCGCTAGGGGCGGATGCCTACTACGACTCCATTGGAAAAGGTATGGGAGTGGCGCGGGTTTTATTCGATTTTTCAACCGATAGAGATTCGGTCTGATATTACCCCAAATTCCAATATTTATCTCGAAATTTCGAATCTCTACTCGGAATATCGGCTTTTATTTCGAAATTTCGACATTTGGAATCGAGATTTCAACAATTTTCTCGAGATATCGACTTTCATCTCTAAATTTCGAGTTATAACAGACAATTCCGACATTTTTCTCGAAATTACGAATCTCTACTCAAAATATCGACTATTATCCCAAATTTCCGACATTTACATCTAAATTTCGAGTTATATCTCGAAATTGCAACTCTTTCCTCGAAATATCGACTATCATATAAAAATTTTGACTTTTATCCCAAAATTTCGAGTTTTATTAGAAATGTCCGACATTATTATATAGAAATTTCGAATATCTACTTGAAATATCGACTTCGAATCGTTAATTTTCGACTTTTATCCCAAAATTTCGACTATTATCCCAAAATTTCGACTATTATCCCAAAATTTCGACTATTATCCCAAAATTCCGACATTTATATCTAAATTTCGACATATCTCGATATTGCAACTCTTTCCTTTCATATAAAAATTTCGACTTTTATCCCAACATTTCTCGATATGTCGAATATCTTCTTGAAATATCAACTTTTATTAAAACTTCGAAATTTGAATCGAAATTTCAACTATTTCTTGGGTATATCGACTTTTATCTCTAAATTTCGACTTTTATCCCAAAATTTCGCCTATCATCTCAAAATACCGACATTCATCTCGAAATTTCGATTTATATCCCGAAGTTTCAACTCTTTCCTGGAAAGATCGACTTTCAATCAAAATTTGGACATTTATCACAAAATTCCGACATATCTCGAAATTTCGACTTTTATCTCAAAATTTCGACTTTTATTTTGGAATTTCGACTTTTCAAATTCATATTTGATCTCGTAATTTCAATTTATATTTACAACTTTCAAGCCATATATCGAAATTCAGACTTTTATATCATGAAATTTCGACTCTTTCCTCTAAATTTTGATTCTGTTCCCAAAATATTGACTTATTTAATCTCGAAACTTCGCCTTTCATCCCAAAATTTTGAGGACACCATGAGAAAGGGATGAAGGAGCCACGTATTTTTTGTTATTTCAACTAATGAAAATTCCGACTTTTCAAATCTCGAAATTTCGACACCGCGCCGCCCCTCAGGCGAGATTTGATATCGAATTATCGACTTTTATCTCGAAATTTCTACTCATTCCTCGTAATATCGACTTTCATCTCTACATTTGGAATTTTATCACTATGTAAGACTTTCACGATATATCTCAAAATGTTGACTTTTCTTGTAATTTTGACTCTTTCCTCAAAATATTGACTTTTATCTCGAAACCTCACCTTTTATCCCAAAATTTCGCGGACGCCTATTACGACTCCGTCAGAAAGGGAATAAAAGGGCCACGGATTTGTTGTTTTTTCAACTGCTAGAAATTCCGACATTTCATCTCAAAATGTTGACCTATATATCTCAAAATCTCGACTGTTTTCTCGTAATATCGACTTCCCAACATTTCGCGGACACCTACTACAATTCCATCAGAAAAGGAATGAATAAAGTTCCACCGTTTTTTTTTTCGTTTTTTCAACCGCGATAGTTTCGACTTTCATCACAAAATTCCAAATCTCATCTCGAAATTACGAATCTTTCCTCAAAATAATGATTTTCACCTCGAAATGTCAAATCTTTACTCGAAATATTGAATTCTATCTCGAAACATGAAGTTTTATCTCAAAATTTCGCGGACGCCTACTACATAAGAAAAGGTATGAAAGTGCCACGAATTTTTGTACTTTTAACAGCGATAGAATATCCGACTTTTTTCTCAAAATTGGGACATTCATAAATTTCGATTATTTTCTCCAAATATCAACTTTCATCTCGAAACTTCGACTTTTGTCCCAAAATTTCGCAGACATCTACTACACTACAACTCCAACAGAAAAGGTATGACATCAAATTTCGATTTTGATCTCGAAATTTTGAACCTTATTGAGTGAAGGGTAAAACTGAAAATATTTCATAGTTTATCAGTAGTTCTCGGAAATTAGGGTATTGATAGTATTGATATAGGATGATTATTTCCTGAGATATCAGTGTTTTCATGAGTAATATAATAATTCTGTTGCTTCATTATTCACGAAATTGTGTTGCCGAGCACGACAACACAATTGAGACATAATTATGAGAAGATATTCAGAACAGAGTGGTATTTTGCTAGACTATTTCACGTTCACGATTCATTCTGACAAGTACAGCCATAATTATTTTATGCCAAACTGATAGATTTTGCTTCCCTATCCATGGTTACATCATTGAAAACATAAAAGCTGTCAGACTAATCAAAATTGAAAGACAGCTCTGGCTCATGATTGGTCAGATTATGTGATGAATGAAATAGTCAGCTATAGAGGCTGCATATTGGTTTCCTGAATAATGTCTCAGAAGTGCCTCAAGTTTCTCGCGATTTTTTCGATTTCTATTGATTTTTTCCACCAAAAAATATCTATTCAAATAGAAAGATGAAATGATTCTTCACAAAAAACGTTTTATGACATTGTATATCACTTTTTAGGTTTAACCTATAGAGACTACATAGAAAGACTGAGGCATAGCACTGGAGAAACCAACTATTTTGACAGATACCAATATTTCTTGAGAAGAGAACCTGAACAGCAGATTACAGATTTTCCAAGAGGATCTAGAAATCTACAAGACCAGGAAATTTGGAATGATGATAGTCTCGGTTTGACAGAAGATATGGCTACCTATTATGGAAAAAATTATATTGAATTTTGGAAAGAAGTGAAGCAGGTGGAACCAGATTATATTCCCAATGATATAGATGCCCAAGCTCAAGATTTTTTGAAGAAATATGATGATTCAGATTTCAGGTAACTGTTTTAGCATAATATATTATTTTTCATTCTAGCAATTTAAAATGTTCATAGTAAATACATACGTTTTTCTGAATATTTTTAGGCTGGTATTGTTGAGACAAAAGCAAATTCCTCCAACTAGAGCATATGTCACATTGCTATCTCTATATGATCTACTCAATAAAGAGTCCAAGAGATTAGGACTAAACAAATATAATGTGAGTATAATTGAATAATACATAATACAACAGCAAGACTTGTCAATAATTTTAACAATTTTCATTATCACTAGTATTTTCAGGGTTTTATTGATCTTCTCATAATATGAAAGAATATAAGATTATCTGAATTATATTTTCAGGGTTATACAGAGAGAATACTGAAAGAGTTGGTTGAAGGCTCCAAGAGTACATCCTCATATCAACTAAGAATGGTGCTGAAGAAAGTTTTGGATCGTGATGATACCAAAACACCTGAGATAGTCAAGAAAATCAAGAATCTCATAGCAGATGTAGACGATCATAATAGCTATATTAACTTAGCCCTTAGATATATTGTACCACTACCATTTGCCTTGTAGTATACTTTAGTTGGGGTACTAGAATTATTTATGTTTAGATATGAATGTGATAATGAAACTTTTTAACTTAAAGGTAGTCCATTTCAAAAATTGAAATAGTTGAAGATTTCCATTTAACAGAATCTGAAAATATATTTGTAACATTTATAAATTATATAAAATAGATATTTACACTGCCTACTCACACATTTAAAAATCCTTTTATACAATTATCTGGAGTATTATCCTCACATTGTTAGGCAATATTGTCTGACAGTCTAACAACCTCAGACAAATTCTCCAATTTTTCATACAACCTTCCACATAATTCTAATTCAGAATCTTGCAATTTTTGAAATTTCAAAGGTAAATACTCTACCCCTGCACTGGCAACTTTATATCCAATTTTTTCCAACTCCAGCACTACATTTTGCAAAGATGTTTCAGCACAAGTGAATTCCATAGTATTATTCTCCATGATACTAACATCTTCAGCCCCTGATAATATGGCATGTTCAGTTGCTTGTTCCAAAAGGTCTACTTCAGAAATTTGTTTATCTCCTGAGTTATCTATTGGGAATTCAGCCTCAATTAAAGCTTTTTCATGAAATAAATGCTGCCCCCCACCATCACTGAATTTGGAACTGAATGGAAACCAAAATTAAAGATGAATTAGATTGTTACATTATATACTTACCCATGTTTTCTTAGTATTGTAGCTATGCTCATCTTCAACTGATGCAGTTGATTAGTGAAAACTTCACACATAATGAAACAATTACCTGGCCCCCTTGAAATTATTGGCTGTTAGCTATTTCGCAAGTTATAAAGGATTACACTTACTTAATTTCAAGCAAATGTAGTTTTTCTTGTGACTTATCGTTCTGGCAGCTTTTAATGATACTTTGAAGAGTTGCTACTGGCATGTTGGCCCTTTTAGCTTGTTCTACAATTTGCGCCAACTTACCATTCAATTTAACATCAGCAGATCCACCTTCTGAAACCAAAGATTAGAGTGGAAATATGTATTTTCATTCCTCTTCAACTATACCACACTATACCATGGATAGCGACTTTTATCTGCCTGCCCAGTTTCGTGAATAGCTGGCACTTTTGGGCATCTTTCAGACCCTTTATGTGTTTGATATTCTGCCATTTGGAATGTCCAGCAAATCGTTTGAATATGAATGCCTGGAGTAATTGTGTTTCACATGATTTCTGAAAGGTTTTCAAACAATTTCTGAACATTTTATCATTAATATTTACATTTGAGGAGCACTTGACAAATGAAATAAATGAGGTTATACCTAGATTCAACTCTTCTATTTTTTGTTCCATAACCGCATAAAACCCATAACTAGTATGGACGCCTGACTTTACGTTTCGAATTTGAATTTACCAGTGGCGTAGTCTTTCAAAAAATTCGGGAGATTCGTCTAATGGGTGAAATATTGGTTGATATCACAGGATTATATTGGTAATGCACCTAAATCGTTTATGGCCATCAATGTGATTTGCGTTTTCAAGAATTATTTAGATTATCCCTGGATCATCTTATCCTTTTGTGATTATTCGTACAAGAAGGTATAGGTATTGAAAGGTAAATAGAAGCACATTTTTGTATTCTTGCACACTGATAAATTTATTGTGCAATTTTGGACGCTATATGTGAAAAGTTCTCGTTTTTTTTTCAGTGAATTTGAAGCACGATAAAATAGGCAGAAGCATGCGGAAGAAAGCCTTCAGAGAGGTCTTTCGCGAGGAAGAGAGGCGGCTGTGGCTGTGACGCTTCCTTCTCGTTTCGTAAGTAACCATGGAAACTCCTTGAGGCGCCGTGCCGGGTTATCGTCTCTCGTTTCTCTGTCACGGTCCCCGACCGGATCGAAGTTAGCCACAAATGAAACGTATCGCGGTCGGTCGTCCGGTCGTCCGTCGATTGTCAGTTGTTTTTACCGAGGCTCGTAGTTGTGCAGTCGGTAGAAAAAAAAATCGCGCGTGAATCTTTTCCTGGCTTTGCTAAAATTCCCCGTTTGAAAATTTAGAGTGTTTACAAAACATTGAAATAATTTAGACGGATCAAGGAATTTGAAGGTTAGTAATGTTGATGTTAATGTTTAGATAATATAAAATCAAAACTCTTTTCTAATGATTAATAATAAACATATATATAGTGGCTATACTGGCTATAAGGCTATTATAGTGACAGTTCCATTGTTTATCACTGTTATGCGGGCTTTTCCTTGAAGACAAATAAAACAACAATAACAATCATAATACGCAGTCGGTAGGTATAATATTAAGAAGGTACCTACCGAGGAAACTACCTATAAGTACCTATAATGAATATTGAATATCGGTTTTATTTTTTCATTTTTTGCCTTACCTATATATCCTATCCCTAAGTATACGCATGCACTGATGATTTCTAAATACCTTATTTATATATACAATCATCAGAATAACTATGATCCCAGAGCCCAAATAGTTCAGTCATAGCATATACAGGGTGTATCTAAATGACACAGAGAAATTTCAAGGGGTAATTTTGTGATGAAAATTAATAGGTAGGTAGGTATATAGGTTCCCTCGTACCTACCTAGCTATTATTGGTAGGTATAAACTTTTTTGAAAGACTTCTTCCCGGAAAAGTATAAAACCCTCCTAAAAATTGAAAGAATATGGTTTTTTGTTTTTATTTCCCCTGAATATTAAGCTAAAGACACGAAACTTGGTGAATATTATTTGTCGCTAAAACTCAAGATAAAACTACACATTTTGGAATATTTTCAACCCTGAGGTGCCTGAAGTATGCTCTTTAGAAGGGGTTGAAATATTCAACCTGTAGGCTGTAAGATATTTTTTCGTAGGTACCATTTCTTTGAACAAGAATTTTCCTTTTAAAAAAACATATCATGGCAAATTACTGCTCAAGTTTTCGAAGAAAAATAGAGATAAGAAAGGTCGAAGAAAGGTATACCTATACTAGAGGTAGGCAGGTATACATAGGGTGTAATTTTTGATGGCTGAAAATATAGGATATGGTTCCTTAGCTCAGTTTAAGAAGAGAAGGTCATATGAACATATTCCCTAAAAACCTCTTAACTTTCGAACTATAGGGTGTTAACATTTTATTTTCTCTTTATTGATTAAATAAACGTTCAAATGTCATTATTTCTCATACAAAATAGGGCATTAGCCTACTAGTTCAAGATCTCGTTCAAGATAATTTCGTTATGCCACAAATGCATGAACATTGTTTTTATTTTTTCACGCGAAAACGGTTCGTCGGACAAAAAAAAAAGAGGATTCCAAAAATGATTTTTATATAAAAATGAAGGGCGTGCAATATTTTTTGCAAAAAATCTCCATACATCCTTTACGTACGCCACTGGTAGAGATATCAAAAAATCTTCTGCATCGAAAAATGTAGTAGGTGCATGTCAAATTTCATGAAAATATCTAGAACGGTATTGAAGTTATGATAAGAAAACGAATTCTTTTTCTTTAGTTTTAACACCGTTTAGGTCGAAAGTTAAGAGGTTTAGGGCATATGTTCATATGAACTTTCTTCTCAAAATGAGCTAAGGAACCACATCCTTTATTTTCAGCCATCAATTGAATTACACCCTGTATACACTGTGTCCAAGATAAGGATGTCTATTATGGTGTTCGTTTTTATTTTTTTCTGACGTTATTTGAAGAGATATAGGAAAACAAAAGACACTTTCTCATTGCCACTTTTTAAGCTCTACAAAACAGCTTCCACAGTTTTTCTGTACGACGTTTCGATTCGGAGAAACCATCATCAACTTCACCCCATGAAAGACATCCTTAACTTGGACACCCCATATATGGTCAAAATTTAAATCTATATTTCCGGTATATACCTTGATACCTATACCCTCGCCCGAGCCCTCGCCTCTATACCCTATACTCCTACAAATAATCGGGAATATTTATGGGATGCAGTCGAATGTGGCCAATAATCAGTTACATTTCAATATTAGGTATGTAGGTATATGTATATGTGTATACCACCTATGAAGTCATTTCTTTATTGCAGAGAGAATCACGTCAGTCCATAGTCTACTCAGAATGCGTCAGTCCTAAATCGACCTTGTCCGTTCTCCAAGGTCGTCGAAATAATGTTCAATGATCTTTAACAAGCACGCACGCATTCTACGATAAATTCCGACCTTTCAATGGACCAGATCTGTATAATAATAACAATAATTACTTTTTTATCCGTCTTTCCTTATTCGCCTGTTTGTTTTTTCATCCGGATATCCTTGGTCGAATAAGGTTTGTTAATCTGTGGTCGAATTATGGTCGAAGCGCTTTTATAAACTTGTTCCTCCCAGTCATCGTGCCAACGTTTTGATCTTTTAGAGAGTCTTTTGAGTAAATGATTCTTCGACCAGAACAAAAAAATTACCAACACTGGAAGTTCTATTCGGATTCACACTATTTTCAATTGGCTCAATTTTTGAATCGCTCAATTTTCGATTCATCCAATTTTTGATTCGCCCACCATCTTCGAATATACCCGAACGATGCGTTGTTGCTAAATCTGAATGAAGATTCATTCTGGGCTTATCATAATTAAATATTTCAATTCTTTTATACACATAATATCGAGCATAATATTTTCGATTCACCAAAATTTCGATCGCCTCGAATTTCGACGTAACATGAGGAAGGAAAATATTCTTTATTTCATACTGCATCATAGAACATACCTTTACGTACCTGATTTCAATCCGGAAAATAGACTTTTACAGGATAGGCGCACGTAATATTTCATTACGTGCTACTATCCCGTAATGAAATATTAGCGGATTGTAAATATTGAAAACTCAGAGGAATGAATAATTGATCTTGAGCTGTGTCCTGAGCCATTTCGTAAAAAACGCGTAATGACAATCACTGACAGTATTATTTAAAACAAAAATTACGTTTCTAAGGAAACTACCTGCCAGCTATCTTGGGAGTGAATGCAAAATTCTGAAATTACTTGACGCAGATAAATAGATTAATATTTTATTTTTCACTGTTCATTTTTGTTTTTTAGCAGTATGAAATAAAATGTTATACGTCACACGTCCGGTAAACTTTTACAGTACTCGTTTCGAAATTCCGTAAACATCTCACTCGTACTGTAAAAGTGTACTTACCGGACTAGTAACGTAAATATCTATTTCTGCATAAGGAATGAGAGTACCTTTTCCAAACTACCTAACCTAACCTACCTAACTCGTCCTAAATGAGCGTTCTTCCTAGAAAGTATATATTTTTCGCATAATTAATTACTTCAGAGAACATAAGAGACTTCTTTTTTAAAACAATCTAACCTAACTCGGCCTGAGTGAATAACTAACCTTACTCTGATACTCTGCCTAAATGAACCTTCCTAAAAAGTATATTTCTCGGAAAATTACCTGAAAGTACAAATGAGACCCATTTCTTTAAATAATCTAACTTGACTCGTTCAAATGAACCCTCGTCCTAGGATGTATATCCATTTTTCAACAATCGAAAATTGGGTGAATCGAAAATTGGATGAATTGAAAATTGGGTGAATCGAAAATTGGGCGAATCGAAAATTGGGTCAAACGAGACGTTCCCATAAAACTTACCGATACATTTGCGAGAAAGCGTGTTCTCGAGCGTGTTATCTAAAAATGTCAATATTTTATTTTCACATTTTGGCGAAAGAGCGAAGGAGGAGGGCTCTTTTACAAAATATGAAAATAACCGAATGCAATTTGTATCAAATAACACGTTTGAATGCAAGATTATCTGATGGTTTTTATGCATGAATGTAATTCATTGGAATACCCAGGGAATAATACATATCTCAATAATAAAGAAATTCTCGAAGGAATGTTGTTTTTTTTTCTATGGAGCACTCAACAAAACGCTAATTTTTTTTTCACTTTTTGAAGTCTCTCTGATATTTATTTGTATTGTTTACTATAGCGTCTAGCGACACGGTTTCAAATCTGTGTTGTCATGGAATGGAGGGTTATTGGGGATGCTGATTCTGAATCTGATAAAAAAAGTTATGTAAAAGAAGCCCTAAAATCCTTTTCCCGAATGAAGGCCTTTTTTGTACCCCTCAACATCGCACGCCAATGGTGAATGAAACTGTTCACTCTACTTATTACTTCATTGTTCTAACATATAATCACCACCAAAATTTCGAGAAAATCGCATCATTAACAACTGAAATATTAGGGTGTATAATTCTCCATCGAATCATGAGACATTTTATCACCTGAGAAGAGCAACTCCATGAATACACAAAAAAACTTGAGAAACAACAATTATTATTATATCAAACCCTGTGTAATTTTATTCATCTCTTGAAGCGCACGAAAGGAAATTCCTATATTGTTCGAAGAACATCGTGCGTACCTTGGGAGGATTGGGAGGTGTTGGATTTTTTTTAAAACTTTTGGAGGTTATATAAGTTCTTGGGAATTTTTCCTTTGACAAAGAATTCCAAAGCTTTGCCGTCCTAGACGAGGTGAACGAATTTTGGTAAAGTGTTGTCCGACATATTTCAAGATTGACAGCGAAAGGATGTGCTGACTGGGCCTGTCGAGTTCTTCTGACTGGTATTGCTGGTGATGGAATAATGATAAGCAAGAGATTTCTGAGAAACATTTCCCGTGGAAGTATCTTTATAGAAAAGTGAAAGGTGAAAGGTCGCCGACATTTCTATACGCCGTTATAATGGGGTTAAAGGATTAGTGAGTGCGGCATCACCCACCAGGCGATTGGCTCTTCTCTGGATGGAATCTATAAGAGCATCAGCGTATGTTTGGGTGCTGAACCCCATATGTGAGAACAACTCTTGGACTGAGGATGTATCATATTTCAGTCTTAGAATTCTGTGTAAGTATTTTGTACACACCATTTTAGAGACACCCTGTATCCTCTCGGTTAACTGCATTGAAACAAAATACCAGTCATGTTCTGTTCCCGGATAAAATTTGAAAATGTGTGCTCTCGATTAATTTTAGTAATTTACCATCACACTGTGTATTTCGTCATGTTAATTCCTTTTGTTTTGTTCACCGTCACCG